AGTGCTCAGCCTTCACTGATATTCTAGAAGCAAAAACCATTGGGGGGGAAAAAAACAGTTACGCTTGCTAAGTGACAACATTGAAATTGATGAACTATTTTTACAAAACCCAGGCCCTTGAATGGCAGGAAATGAGTACTTAAAGGAATCAAAAATCTTACCCTGCTCACATAATAAGAATATCCTTATCAAATAGAAAAAAATCATATTTCATTAGAACACAACAACCTTAACTCTGATCCAATGGGCTTTTTGTATTATTTTTATAATATTTATTTTAAAATGATTATTTTAAAATGATTTTAATGTAATGTTATTCCTCTGACAGTAAATTTGTTTGGTAAAGTACTTAGAACCGCTATTGCTTGGGAACATTTGTTTTCTATGTAATAATAGGAAAGTCTATAATTTATCAACTTGAATGTCTGTGGACACATGTTTAAGGTTAACCCATATATCATTAATGAATATGTGCGTGCGTTCGTGTGCGTAATTTGTTTCTTTTGCAGAAAGCTGTTGTGTGTGTTTATATTTTGTGGTTACTCGCGAGAAGATGGCGTTTATTTTGTGTCGGAGCTGAGGCTGCCATGATGAAACATGCACTTCTTTCTATTGAAATGAATGCATTTCTACTCTGGCTATGTAACTATTCCTTTCCTTAGGAATTAGTTCTTGGGTTTTGTAACAGGTGCAATAGGTAATTGGCAGATGTAGGGACAGTCTCTGGAAAAGAAAGAGCATCCTCCTGGCTGCATTATCTTACAGCCAGCTGCCTCCGACCTCCCTGGGAAGTCCAGCCAGTCGGGAATCAGCCAGAGGTTGAGGCTCCCGGCAGTGCTCTTCCTCAGGAAAGAGGAGCTATATGGAAAGGTGACATGGAACTGGCTGCACAGGCCCTCTGGCACCAGGGATTTCCCCCTGCCAGGGGATCTCCAGAAAGTCAGTTCAAGCAGCTTTAAGAATGATTTGCACCACGGCAGGGGCAGAAATCAGCCTCAGTGGGATGGAGAAGCTGGCCCCTCATGTACAATACTGCCCCTGCTGCAGTGAATGACTGAAAATGTCCATTGACATTTATGAGAGCCCAGGACTCCTATTGAGATTTGCTGGGACAGAATTGTATGCCATAATTATTCACAACACAAATCGCTACCAACTTTGCTTAATTTCAAACAGTTTTTCTCACATGTCACTAATACCCAAGTCTCCATGGAGATGCGACCCTGTGGAAAATGTGAAGGGGTCATGACAAGCCGTCACTGAGCTAAAGGGAGACAAAGTCCCAGTGTCCAATCGGGGAGTTGGGACTGGCTTGTGAAGCCCAGCAGGCACAGTCGGGCAGGGCAGAGCTTCTCTTTGGAAGGACTGTGTCAGGAGAGCCATCGGGCTCGGGCTCAGCAGGCCTTGTGCAGAATGCCCTGGAGGGTCTGGGGCACACACTGATCCACAGTGGCCTGGGTGACCTTTTTCCTGCATGGTGGCAGGTCTGAGTAGCTGTCTCAGCATCTCTCTTGTGCAGGAGCAGTTGGGTGGCGATGCTAAGCAGCTCTTCCCTTTGTCTCCTCTTGCTGTAGGAACCTACCCAGTTTATTCCGCAGGCTCCCTCCTTTCCTCCTCCATGGAGCTGGTGACTTAGACCCATGACTCCAGAGTCAATGGTGCAATCTGTGAGGTTGTAATTAGCACAGAAAATGAGCTAGGAGGAGGAAACGGGACAGGATTTAATTTTCAATTGAACAACGAGTCAGAGTCTACAGCCAGCATGTGCAACCTTCCTGACTCGGAGGAGGAAAGAAACCCCAGGCCTGAATCCCCATTCATGTTAGTGAGCGCAGGACTGGCTCAAAAGCATCTACAGCAAAAGACACTGTAACTTTGCTTAGTTACCATCTATTTTCTGGTTTCAGAGTAGCAGCCGTGTTAGTCTGTATCCGCAAAAAGAAGAGCACATACAGAGAGCATGAACAGAACAGGTGGGAGTTGTCTTACCAACTCTGAGGGTACATCTACACTACAGGGGGGAGTCGATTTAAGATACGCAAATTCAGCTACGTGAATAGCGTAGCTGAATTCGACGTATCGCAGCCGACTTACCCCGTTGTGAGGACGGCGGCAAAATCGACTTCTGCCGCTTTCTGTCGGCGGCGCTTACTACCACCTCCGCTGGTGGAGTTAGAGCGCCGATTCGGGGATCGATTGTCGCGTCCCAACGGGACGCGATAAATCGATCCCTGAGAGGTCGATTTCTACCCGCCGATTCAGGCGGGTAGTATAGACCTAGCCTGAGAGGCCAATTAATTAAAAGAAAAAAAACTTTTGAAGTGAACTTTTTTCTCTTAATTAATTGGCCTCTCAGAGTTGGTAAGACAACTCCCACCTGTTTATGCTCTCTATATGTGTGTATATATATCTCCTCAATATATGTTCCATTCTATATGCATCCGAAGAAGTGGGCTGTAGTCCACGAAAGCTTATGCTCTAATAAATTTGTTAGTCTCTAAGGTGCCACAAGTACTCCTGTTCATCTATTTTCTCCAGTCCCAGCCAGTGCCTGAGGTAGTGAGATTTCACCATCTGGTCATAACGAGCCAGAGGTAGAAGGAGACAGGAGAACATCAAAGCAGCATTAACAGATCACTCAGCAGGGGCAGCAGAGCTGGGGCGGGGGCAAGCTACTGCCACCTCAGTGGAAATATTGGGGGGCTGATCTTTTGTCCCCCACCCCTTGTATCGCTCCCCCTCATGTTCTGGGAACAAACATTCCCTGTAAATAGTGAGGGGGTGAGGGTAAGAGCAGGACCCAGAGTGGCTGGAGTAGCCAGTGCAGTGCCTGGGGTCGGACTGACGACTAGACAGGAACCAGGTTGTTCGGCTTACGCCAGGAGACGCTACCTCCGGCAGTCAATCTGAGAGCCCTCTTCTCAGCATTCAGCCAGCTGCCCTCCACCCAGTCCTAGTAGCTCCCCTCGCTCCCTATGTGAAGGACCCACCCTGACACCCCAATCTCCCCTACTTCCCATACAGAGCACATACCCTGCCCCCCTAACCTCCCCACTCCCCATACAGAGCACACGCCCTGCCCCGTCCTATCCCTGACATCCAACCTCCCCCACTCCCCATACAGAGCACCTGCCCTGCCCCATCCCTGACACCCCATTGCCCATGCAGAGCAATCACCCTGGGGTTGGAAGGGCGACTTTGTGGCCCTGTTGGGCTGGCTATGCACAGAGGAGGTAGAGGCTTATCCATCACCCTCCAACCTGTTGGTGCGTGACATGAGTAATACAATTGTGTGACACGTGATCAGAATGTAGAACACTGGGGTTTTGGTTGCTTTGCCTCTCTCTAAGTGCCTGTTGGAAGGACACTTTCACTCTGGTTTTTGAAAAGGACTCTAGAAAAACAGCCCCTTTCGTGGGTACTCAGCAGGGTTTGTACCTGGACTTTCAGCTCCACCGCACAGTCCTCTACCACTTGAGCTAAAGGAGTCGCTGTTAACCTCTGTATGGAACAGCCACTAGGAGAGATGTCAGCGGTTTGCTAGACAGCAGTGGAGTTTTTGAGATCAGGAATCCTGGGTGGTTTAGTCACGGGGGTACAGACAAGAGAGGCAAGCACATAGTTGGGTCACAGTGTGGCTGGATAGAGGAGCTTTATGTATGCCATATAAGAGACAGGCGTTCTACTCCCAGACCTTCCTGAAGTGACTTTGTGCAACCTCTCTGTTAACATATGTGTGAAGTAGAAGGAATAATACTTGACTGCCTCCTAAGATAGAGCTCTGAGGCTCTGAAGTGCACAGATAAATGGCCAGCAGAGATAAGATTTGAATTCATGGCTCCTGCTTCCAAGCTCGGTGCACTGTCCCCTAGACTATGGGTACTTGGATAAGCTTGTTCTTTCTTCTCCACCATGAACGGTCACCTGGTTTAGGCAGAAGAGGCTGAGCTGCAGAACACTGCAAAGTCTGGTAAAGTTGGGAAATCTGGCTGCAGGGCAGCCATGCATCAGGCCCTTTCTCTGGTTTGGTAAGAAGCAAGCGCACTATCCAGCGTCTGTCTCATGTCAGGAAAACCTGATGCAAAGATCCCCCTGTAGAGGATCAAGGAGAAGTTGGCTCTGTCTAGCCAGATGAGAGCTCCTGACAGTTTGCTGTGTAGACCAGACCTGTCTGTTCTCTGCTCTAACCACCATCCTGCCACTGCTCCTGGGTTTTATAACTGTTTGCTTAACACTGATTACAAATCATCTCTAATCTGACAGATAATCTAGAGGAGCTATTATCACTCTGGGCACAAACTTCCTGCTGCTGCTGCTGCATGTGCAGATAAAGTTCTCCTGAGAACTTGATATTAGCCCTCAGGCAGAGACTCTGCCTTTTTTTGCCCTCAGGAGGCACATGCGCACCTGGGAAAATGTCTGAATATACAGTGCTAATTACCTGGGAACACATCGTCCTTTGGGAGGGAGGGGCAGTTCATTTAATGCCCCTGGGGTTTTCAATGCCTTATTGAAGAAAAGGGGTTGTCTGTACTTTGTGTCTAGTCAGTGTCTTGTTCGTCACTTGCCCGTGTTTATGAGGGTCTTTCCAACTGCAAAAAGAGAGAAAGCATTTTAAAAATGGGGACATTGAATTGTCAATCCCCCTGCCTGTGGCCTCACAAACATATTTTCCTGTTTATAAAGTTGTTTTTCTCTCACATGTTTCAATGTGAGACCTGCACAGGGACTCCAGGACTGGGGTATTACCCCAAACTCCTTGTTACTTGCTATCAGATTGATAATGTCCCTGGCACAAAGAACAGGGCTGGGAAGAATAAGGCCCAATGTTTCTGTTGTGCCCTGGGCCTACATTCTCCCTCCCCACCTGCATGCCATGTGCTGTCTTTGGTTGGATTGTAAACTTTTTGAGGGTGCTTTGGAGAACAGCTAAAACATTCTGGGAGCTGTAAGGCAATAATAACCATCTCTTGACTGAACCCTGCTGTGGTCTCTTGCAGATTCATAGCCCGGCCCCTGGGCAGAAAGCTGGGTTTGAGGGACAAGGTGAGATTGAACGCTCCACCCAGTCCTGTGCTGGAAACCTTCTACGCTACTCACAGCAAGGATCCAAAGAAGGTGAGTTCCTTCTCCCTCCCAGCCCCTTGCCCCGTGGCTCCTTCTTATCACTGTCTAGCTGGAATTTCATTGAACTAAACTTTCTAGCCAAAGTTCTCAAATTTGGCAGCATAAAGTTCAGCAACTCCATCTATATTTAGAGCCTCAGCCAAGCAGCCAGGTCCCCGGAGGTGCTGAGCATCTCCCTGACTGCAGTAGGAGCTGGGAGCACCCAGCACCTCTAAAAGCGTCATCAGAAGCAGCTCCCAGTTCCACACACAGGGGCGACTGCCCTGGTGCATTAGACAGCTGGAGCTTAGGGGAGTTACGAGGAGGATGCCAGATCTCTCCAAAACTCCAGGGGCAAGGGCACTGCTACCCCAAAAAGAAAAATGTCCTGTTCAAATGTCAACTCCTGACTCCTTGTTCACCTGCCTTTAAACATGGCCTCGTTGTGTGTGTTTCTACCTCCCTTGTCAAACGCCCCGTGACAAATCAGGATCTCTTAGACTCGGACAGTTACTGCAGCCCAGCTAGATCAGGCTGCAGACTCCGCCTGACAGCTACACTCCTCAGTGGTGTCGTGTGCTGCTATGAAGCCTGTGAGTTTGGAATCGGTCTTACTGGCAGGTACCACAAGCCAGTGTCCTCGGCATCATCACACACCCAATATGGAGCTGTGGGATTTCCCTGCAGGTGATGAGGAGATAGTGCCCTGGCAGGGCAATTTCTGGTACTCTTGGCATACGTTCTACTGCTCAGCGGAGTTCTCCAACAGCTGAAGTTTCTGACAGCAGTATCCAGAGTTCTAGTCTCAGGGGGCAGCCGTGTTAGTCTGTGTCTACAAAACCAACAAGGAGTCTGGTGGCACCTTAAAGACTAACAGATTTATTTGGGCATAAGCTTTTGTGGGTAAAAACCTCACTTCAAGCATTCTTAAAACTACAGTACCCACCTGGGGAAGTGAGGAAACAGATTGACAGAGCAAGACGGGTACCCAGAAATCACCTTCTACAGAACAGGCCCAACAAGGACAATAACAGAACACCCCCCAACCTGAAGCAAATACTCACCAGCAACTACACTTCACACCACACCACAGAAACACCAACCCAGGAACCAATCCCTGTAGCAAACCTTGTTGCCTTCTCTGTCCCCATATCTACTCTGGCGACACCATCAGAGGACCCAACCACATCAGCCACACCATCGA